ACACGAGAGTATGTATTCATGTTTGTTATGTGTAATAACGTATTACAGCATTTTCATCAGATGCGTCAAGCTCTCTTTACTTTTAAAGACATGCACAGGGTATTTACATAATTTAAGAGGCCCTGGTGGCACAAGAGAAGATTTTGGAAATTTTGAAAACACAACAAACAAATACTGCCAAATGTTGATTATCAAGCAGTTCACTGTCCCAGAGCATTAGAAAGAAACAAGTAAATGACAGAAATATAAAAGAGTGCCAGAGATCAATTTCATGTAACCACATACTACACCATCATTGACACACTTGAAGTGCAACAATTTCATTCTTACACGAGAACTAAGTTTACAGATTCAGGAAAGACAATTTTACTCATGCAGGCTTATGGAATCACTTATGTGTGATTCCATAATAAGAGATAAAATACAATGCATATTTCCTAGTGTTTAAATTGTTTTATGCATATTCCTAACTTTAATGATTACAAACTGCACAACAGAATGCTCATTTTCAACCCTAAAGAGACTCAAAAACACTCAGCATACAACGATTCAAAAAAGACTCAATTCATTATTTTTATTATGTATTATGTATGGAAGCAGATATTGTTTGGCAGCTTAAATGTGATGAAATCACTGAAGAATTTGTAAGAGCAAAGAATAGAAAGAAATCTTTTAAATTATAACATGTTAGAGATGAAAGATCTATCTAAAAATAAAATATCGTAATTTGTGGTAATATTTGTTTTCTGATTATTAAATTCTTTTATGACATCTTTTCATTTGTTCATTTATAACTATAGCATTTATTACAAAACAAGCATAAAAACTGAAGTATGAACCATTTAAAGCAAAACTGGTGAAAGTCAATTTTTTGTTGTGGGAGACTGACTAAGTTATCTAGTGCTGCTATAATGGAAATATCACAAGTGGATGGCTTTAAGAGAAATTTATTCTCTCACACTTTAGGAGGCTAGAAGTACAAACAAGGGTGCCAGCTCTAGCGGAAGGCCTTCTACCTCTGTCGGCTCTAGAGGAAGGTCCTTGTCATCAATCTTCCCCTGGTCTAGGAGCTATTCAGGGCAGGGACCACAGGTTCAAAGAATGCGCTCCACTCCTGGCACTACTTTCTTGGTGTTATGAGGTCCCCTGTCCTTCTGCTAGCTTCTCCCTTTTATATCTCAAAAGAGACTGACTCAAAATAAACCTAATCCTGTAGATTGTGTTCTGCCTCATTAACGTAACTGCCTCTAATCCTGCCTCGTTAATATTATAGAGGTTAAAATTTGTAACACATAGAGAAATTAAATATCCTATCACAAAATGGAGGACAACCACACAATACTGGGAATCATGGCCTACAAAGCTGACACACATTTTGGGGGCACACAATTCAACCGATAACATCCCACCCATTGGCTCCCCAAAATTCATGTCCTTTC